CTCCCTGCAGTGGTCCCCTTCGAGGAGGTGTGGAGCCGCAGTTACTGTCGCGCTCTGGAGACCCTGGTGGACGTGCTGGGCGAGTTCCCCCACGAGGCTGAGCACGTGTTCAAGCCGTCCTGTGTCCCGCTGCGGCGCTGCGCTGGCTGCTGCGGCGACGAGGACCTGGAGTGTGTCGCCGTGGAGACCCGCCCCGTGGCCATGCAGGTGGGCCCGGGGGTGGGGGGCACTCCGACCCCCGGGCTCCGGCCCTGTCTTGTGTGGGGCTGTGGCTGGCAAACGGGCCGCTGTGCTCCTGCCCGGGCTCCCCCGGCCACAGGGGGAGTGCCGGCACCCAGTGCTGACAGGAGACCTTGGCTCTGCCAGGATAGGGTGACCAGACAGCAAGTGTGAAAAATCGGGACGTGGGTGGGGGGTAATAGGAGCCTATATAAGAAAAAGACCCAAAATCGGGACTGTCCCTATAAAATCAGGACATCTGGTCACCCTAGGCCCATCTAGCCCGGTATCCCGCCTCCTGCGGTGGCTGGTCCCAGCTGCCTTAGGGGAAGGTGCACAGAGCCCCCAGGTGGTTAACTCTGGAATAATCTGGCCGGGGATGGAGGGCGGGGGCGGGGGTGGCTCGTCCTCTGACCCCGTGGAGTGTAACCGGCTGTTCCCTGGGCCAGAGACACGTCTGGCCAGCTCTGGCTCCCGCTCGGCTCTTGGCCTGGCTGAGACCTTGTGGCGGTGAGTCCTACAGGCTGCTGGTGCCCTAGTAGGGTCCAGTATGTACGATCTGTATTTCGTGGGGCCTAGGGGCCGCGGGCAGACCTGCGTCCCATGGGGCGGGGGAGCACTTTCCCCACCAGCTCCCTGTCTCCTGCCCTGGGCACCGGCTTCCCTCCCATTTGGCCAGCTGGGAGCCCCCCAGCCTGGTCAGTACTTGGCCTTGCTGCTGCCCGGGAGAACTGAGCTTGGCCAGGGGTGCGGCGGCCCAGGGGGTGGCATGGGGTGGGCTGGGTACCAATGAGCTGCATCCTCCCGCCAGGTCGTCCGCCTCAGTCCGATCCAGGGGAAGAGTCAGCAGGAGGAGATGAGGTTCACTGAGCACAGCCGCTGCGCGTGCAGGTGAGGGGGGCACGGCCGGCGCCTGCAGGTGGGGGGAGGGTTACAGCCGGCCCGTGCAGGTGGGGGGGGGTTATGGCTGGCGCATGCAGGTGAGGGGGGGAACCTGTGGCCGGGTACAAGCATAGGTGGAACACAGGTAGATGG